TATAACCGTGTATATTATGAAATTCTGAATATATAACGTTAATTATATCTTCCTAATAATATTAGATTATACTTAACTATTGCATTAAAATAGTTTAATAAATAAATTATATTCTTCATTGGAAATCAGACACACCGGTCAGAGTTGCAGCGATCCACTAACCTGAAGCTAACTTGTTAATCAGTAATATTTTCGTTAAAAATAATTTTTCGTTGGAAATATTATTTTAGTTAGAAATAATATTTTCGTTAAAAACAATATTTTCGTTAAAAACAATATATTCGCTGAATCATCAAATCATCAGATTTTAATAAATGTGTGTTGTTCTTTAAGGATACATTCCTCACTTCATTAGAAAAGATTTAACTTTTCAGACAGATAATACTTGTGATAGCAAAGAATATATAGCAATATATACAATATATTCGTTGAATCATCAAATCATCAGATTTTAATAAATGTATGTTGTTCTTTAAGGACACATTCCTTAGTTAATTAGAAAAGAATTGACTTTCAGACAGATAATACTTGTTATAGCAATTGTTTTTGTTATAATAATTGTTAAAGAAAACTTTTACGTTGCAATATTAATTAAGTAGAAAATTATTGTCGAATTTTATGTTATCTAATTAAATAACATCTCGGGAGAATGGTAGTTCCACTAAAACTGCATTTTTAAATTTTTCAAATTATCTTATTAATTTTTTTATCGATAAAAGAAAACAAATTCAAACTGAATTGAAATATTAATTTAGTAACAAATTTTAATTATATAAGTTAAGAATTTTTTATGATAGATTTTCAAAAACTTCTCACTGCATATAATGAATTCTGAAAGTTTTAAGCAGAATGGATGAAATTAATATTTTATTATTTTAATAACCAAAATTTATTATTTTTATTTTTAAAAGGTGTATAATTGCTCATTTGTTCAAATTAAAATTAAAATAAAAAATTATAATTTATTTACACAATTATTTGGACTATTTGGTCATTTTAAAGATGACAGTAAACATAGTCGATGTATTGGTAAAACTATAATATAATTTTCAAAAATAATTCAATGAATTGTGTATTATTTGAACAATGACCAATTACAGCGTTTTAAAAATTAAAATAATTAAATTAAAACTTGGTTATTTAAACGTAAAAAAAATATGTATATATATATTACAAAAAGCCGACCATACATAACAATTACTACCTTTTCTTATGGTAATCACTATATTTAAATAATCTTCATATTGTTGTGCTACAGCACATCTTTGTAATATATTGTTTTCTGGGTCCCGGATGGGGGAGGTGAGCAGCATTATGTCCCCTATGCAGACATAGCTTATTATGCATCTATATTTGCTGTTCTGAAGCCATCAAAACTTCTATTGATTTATAATTTTATTTGAATGCAAATAAATTATTTTCTTCATAATCAGATTTTAGAACATAAAATAGGCAAAATCATACTATAACTGCATTTCTATTAACACTAATAATATTCATCGTTGTTCAGGCACATGACTTTCTATTAAGTAACCTTGATAAAAAATAGATAATTATACGTATATGAATTTTCGGTGAGGGCTACGGGAAAATTAAATAGTATTAATTACAATATTGTTCAGATTTGTTAAAATAATAATGCAGGTAGTCTTACAATGGTTAGCTGAAAATGTCTAGTATAAGTAAGTATAACTTGTAACAAAATTGAAAGTGAAAAAAAAAATATAATATGCTCTCCTCTGTCTTTCTATTTTTTTATAAAGTAATAATAAGAGAAGTAGCGGATTTATTGTAGCATATTAAATGTAGAAAAACAAGAAAAATATGATAATTTCAAAATGTCGATCTGAGACCTGTTTTTAGCTTTCAGAAAATATAATTAATTTATCGCTTGTATCTGTGTTAACAACGACTATTCTTAGAAGTAGCATTTTCTTAAAAAAGTACAATTTTTTTGTATCTCACACCAGCTGATAGGTTTATTCAACTTAATTGGCTAATATAATAAAAGAACTTAATTGTAAGATCATAATGATCAAATTGAGCACACGGAATATTTTAATATGTTTATTTAAATTTCTTTATATAAAATTTAAAAATCATGCGGTATATTATAAACTAATAGAATGTGTGCTCCATCTAGATGGATTATAGTACATCCATTAAAAATTTAAATCGTTAACAATTTATTAGGAATGTCCAAGGATGTGGTTTCTTAAGTAATTTGCAGCGTTTTATTTGTGTTCCATAGTTATCCCTCAAATTTATGGCGCCTACAAATTGCAGGTTCCAGCTTCACACCCAGACAAACTCACATTGTTCGGGGAGTGTAGTTAATCCAGTCCCATTTGATTTGTACGCGTTCACACCTCTGTATTGGATGCGCGTTAAATTGGACATAGACACTGTTTTATGATAGTTAAATTAATTATAGAGGTACTCTACCATGTTTTACTGGCATGAAATTAAACTGCTTTAATGTTTCTGTTAAAGTTCTCTAGCAATGAATATATATGGCAGGAGGATTATGTATTTTTTAGTTGATAATGATGATAATTCCTTTATTGCATATTCACTTTCTTTGTGGAAGCTAAATTTCTAGATCATTTCACTTATTATTAAAAATAAAGAAAGATCGAGGCAACAATTACTTAAATTACTACAATAAATTATAATACTCCTTATATGAACTGAAGCGAGAAGTCCTATATTTGCGAAGTAAACTCAATATATAAACAACGATACAATATCTTTATATGGATGACATTTGCATTAGTACTGGTAGACATCCTACATGATATAAGAGGCTGTTCACTAAACGTATATAATATAACATATAGGCACTACAGGCTGTTGTGCCAGGCTTTCTAGGTTTTCTTTACGTTCTCCATCAATTTCGTTCGATCGGTTGATAACGTTATTCAGTTAACTATATAGGGGGTTCTAGTATCTTTATGAACGTAGAAAACAATTTGTGTTTTGTATTTGGCCTATCTGGATGATTCCTACTTTTAGGATGTATTCCATATTCTACTATTACAATAGCCTCATTGAAGTCTGTATTCTTTAATAAAATTATAATTTTTTAATAAGTTATTGTTATCAATATTTATTCTTCACTTAAAAATTTTCTTGTCTACTTAGACCGATCCATAGAATTGATTAAGTGTTTTTTGTTTCTAAGATAAGAATTATTTGTTGTTGTTGTAACCAACACCAACCTGATACTCCTGTTATTGTTTGACAGGATCAATGGTGCTTGAATGTCTCTAAAGACGTGTGTAGTTCGACTTTTGTTAGCTGCTTGTAACTTATTATTTATTATAAGTATTTAGTATCACTGTTTTTGTCGACGTCAATTCTGTATTTTCCAATAGAGATATGATTTGTATACTTTCTATATCTTATAGATAAGATATCCTATAGATATTTTCAATTGTTTAGTTTTGTTTTGATTTATTTTATTTATCAGTTTTTCTGATGTATTTATTGTATTTTGTTTTGTGCATTTATTTCTTAACAAATTAATATATACTTTTTTATTTTTATTGCAGGTTCGTTTTAACTTAAAACCTCAAGTACACGTAATGCATACCTGGAATTTCGCTTATCGACATGCGCGTAAAGGTCATTGGGAGGATTTAGCGCGCGATCGTACAAGATTCTTTTTAAGAATACAACGAGCTTCTGCTTATTTGGATCCAATATTAAATATTGAACACCGTAGTAAAATTTATAAAGATCGATTTGAAAAATTAAAAACTGAATGAAAAAATTAAATAATTAAAAAAAAAAGAAAAAAAAAATAAGAAAAATGTTAGTGTATATAGATTATGAAAATGCAGTTTTAATGTATATACATAGATTATAACTAGTTACATGAACATTTTATAATAAATCAATATGAAAATAAATATATAATATAATATGTAAATTAAATATATATTTTCAATTTATGTTAGAACATTATATATTTTAATCTAATATGTACATACATATATAAGCATTTTTATACAGATGAAGTTAAGGTAATGACATAACGGCTATATAGATGGGTAAAATATTTTTACCCATCGAGTAAAACACTATATAAAACTTCATATTTTTACTATTATTTAAACTAAATATATATATTAGGACCTAATAATACCAAATATTTTATTTCTTTCATACTGAGAGAGTTACACGAACGTACTTTATCGATTTTTATAATATGATTGATTTTGTAGAAATAAAAAAAGTTAATTTTCAAAATCATATACTTGATATATAATGAATTTAGATTAAAATATGGATAGATTTTCCTAAAAGTTAGTAATTGATCAACGAATTTCTGTGTGTATATAAATATCACAATTACAATAAAAGGGTTGCAAACTATAGTTTGATTAAGAACATGTCAATAAGGATTTTGACATAATTTAAGAAGTTGACTGCCAAATTCTAAATAATATGTTACTTGCCTTATAGTTTAGGGTGCCTGCTAGGAATTATCTGAAAGTTTCTTTACTTGCCATAATTAGGTGTTAAAATAAATTTCAAATTGTTTTAAAAAAGTACTGTAATTAATGATTCAAAATATATAATATAATAAATATTTAAAAATATGTAGAATGATATCAACAAAATGAAATCAACCAAAAACAAGTTAAGAATATAGACTTCTAAAGAACTTATTGTCGAAAGGACTAAAGTGGAAAAAAGTTTAAAAATATAAAAATAATAAAGTAAAACTCATTTGATTTAATTATAATATTTCCAAAAAGTTTTAATTAATTTTAGAATGAAAAATAATTATTTTTTTTTAAATCAATTTGAAATTGCTATTCATTACTTATATATTGTTCAACTGCTTTTGGATGCTTGTCAAGAAATCAGTAATCAATTATTTTTATATTACTGGAAATCGTATTAATGAGTATATGATAATGAATTTATATTATATATACAAAGTTTAGATTCCAATAACTATTAAATATTAAATCAAAAAACATATGTTTATTATATTTTGGCTTAAATTTGTATTTGAATTATTTAGATGTTTTGTTTTTAAAATTTTTGTTTATCAAAATAATATATTATTTACTGAAATAAATGACAATATTCTTATTTAAAAATACAATCAAATTAACATTTTTTCAATATTAATAATTTTTATTAAATTCTTTTCATTTTGTACATGCGTATAAATATAGTATGAAGTATGTTTTGCAAAATTTTGTTATGATCATTGAAAAATTAATAATTATTCGAATTATATTTATAAACATTTATATATGTATTTTTTTTGTCAAAAGAAAATTTATCCCTGTTTTTCATATTTACTTCTGTAAATGCCTTTGGCATCGTATTTGTCTAAAAGAAGTTTCCACTCTCCTGGTTTATTGACGCGAAGAAAATTGATGACTTTTTGAGAATTCCTCTTTTGTGTTTCAGTACATTTGGAGCAATCGGTTTGAAGAGCATCTGGAAGCAATTCTAAAAAAAATATATATTGTTAATTAAATTACAATAAAAAAATTTTCGTCTTTTCTAAGATTATAAAAATGTACTTACTTTTGAGTTCTCGTCCTTCAGCAGTACAAGGTCCTTTTTCCATCAAGCATTTAATATAATTATTTAAAATGCGGTTATTAGTAAGTACACTGTCAACATCCACGCCATCAAATTTATTTGTGTATTGTCTTTGTTGGGCAGCAACGAGGGTCACGAACATCAGAATAATAATCACTTTCATTTTGTTTCTAAAATAGCAAAAAAAAAATTAATATGTTAACGTTTTTTATTATAATACACATATTTATGAAACAAAGTCTAGTGTCAAAAGTTATTAGTGTGCTAATGGACTGTATGAACTCTTCCTTTGAACTCAACTCTTAAGAAGTCATCTCCTATGCATTTGTGGACTCATCTGTTACAGACTTGTATCTTACAAATTGGTCTCTTAAGGTACGCGATTTACAATCACAACATAAGAATGATAATAAAACAGTACAGTTAGTGTTGATCTCTCAAGGATCAAGCGCCTTAAGTTTTAGGACCTAATTGTAGCAGGCTAAACGATTTGCAATAAGAATGGTAATATTTACTTCTTTTTAAGTAATATATACTTGTTCTCAGGTAATATTTACTTCTCAAGTAATATTTTCTTCTTTTCAAGAAATATTTCCTTCTTCTCAAGTCATATTTCCTCTTTCTCAAGTAATATTTCCTTCTTCTCAGGATATTAAATATTAAAATAATGTCAATTTAAGTGAGGGCTCAATCCTCACTTGATAATATAAGCTCAAGATAATGAAAAGTAAGCAATTATATTTTGGCACTAATATTAACTAGAAATTTCAATAATGTGATAAGTTTAGAAACACTTTGGAAACCACTGTTAACGATCCTTGCAAATACGTGTCAACCTACTGGGGTAATACATAAATTTTGTAGAGCCATAAGCATTTTCCACTGTTATTTCTTATATTTTGTTGGCAACGTTTAGTCCTGAGCGTTTTTTTGGTTATCATCGTGTATTTGGTTTGTTTGCATTGGGTTTTGTCTATATTATAAAAGAAAAGGTTTTTGGGTACTCTATTTGCGAAAACTTGAACACTGTCGTTATTATTGGAATAGGTACAAAAAAGTATGTGGTTTTGGGGTTTACGTATAATGTTATATGATTTTATAATACTTTCTAAAATACTGTTTAGGTATTCGCAACACATATAGTTTTAATGCTCATAAATTCTCAAGTTCTAACAATTATAAACAATTTAAAATTTATTTCCTTTATTCACTTCATCTGACCTTCTGAAAATGTAGTTTTTTTATTAGCAATGCCCCTCGATAGTTAACTATAATTGTTAGTTTTTTATTATTTTTTAAGTTTACGTGTGGTTTCAATTTGAGTTACGTATATCGAAATTAATAATAATTCGTTTTTAATTTGTTTCGCCACTTTTTTACGTAAACCTTCTTCTAGTTTCGTAGTACTTAAAAATAAGAATAAAGATCCAAGATAACTTTTCAGCTCATTGCCTTACCATGCACTTCAAGGTCGCTTTTGCAATGACAAAAGTAAAAATGCAGTTTTTAATTGGAACTTCTTTAATTGTCGATTGCCTTCAAATAAAAATTATTATTAACTAAAAAAAACTGTTACTAGTAGGCCGATTAGATAACACGCAATGTCTTGTCTTCAATACACAGTTATTTCCTAGAGCGTTGATATTATTAAATGTAGCTATTACGTAGCTGTCATATCACTTGAGATTAATTATATATGTATATAGTACGATGTATATAAACGTTTATAGAAACATCAAACCTTAAAATAAAATTAATATCTTTATATACATACATATATATAACTTTTCCAAACATTAGATAGAGCTTCTCCACTTTTTAGTTAACGTAAAGGGAGTTATTTCCATTTTATTTTTTTAATTTTTACGTTATCTATGTACCTTAGAATAATTTCCACTACAAACCTTATAACCTGTAGCTAAGACAGACTATTGGGCCATGTCCCCTATATGTATGATTGACTGTGCGTCCCATTTAATTAAAGCATGGACTGTGAAGTAACGATCACTTAAAAATTTAATGAAACATCTGATGATAATCTGAACAATTTCAAAATTGTTTAGCTTAAGGATCGGGAAACCTTTTGCAATAAGTTCCTGCGTCAGATTTTAAATGTATGGTGGCCTGACAGCATCAGTAATACTGACCTCTCGAATGCTACCAATAAGACCCCCTCGCCTGTTGAATTTTGCAAAAGAAAATGGCGTTGGATTAGACATATGCTCCGCAGACCAAATGAAAACATCGTCCGTTAAGGACTTCGATGGAATTCTCAAGGTAGAGGTCGACGTGGAAAAGATCAATACAATTAGAAATGGAAGCTGCAAATCTCATACTGAAATAACTCATCGGGTAGTGTTTCGAATTAAACTATTTGAAATTTATTGTTTGTAATTCTTAATTGAATTATAAATTTTTGAATACCATCGCGTGGTATCTATATCTTTCTATAAATTGATATTTTAATTATCATTTTTATCATATTACTGGTATCTTCCTAGTTGGCTTAAAACTCAGTCAATAATGAAAGCATATATACAAGTACTTGAAGTGAAATTTTATCAAATCATTACAATTTTCATACAATATCACTATAATACTACGGCAACCAACATTCGTTCGTGGCTTTCTTGACGAATTAGTTCGAAATTTAAAGCAGTCAACTAAACTAACTGATAAAAGGTGAAATAAGTAACGTCATACGAATATACACTTTTTTTTGTATGATATATGATAAGAATGCCTAAATAAAATAAGTTAAATCAAATTTATAGGAACATATATGGTATTTAAGAACGGCAACAGTTAGTTCAAATTTAAGGGCAATGTATTCTTATACCTGGAGAGCAATAACAAAAACAGCTATAACTGGAGAGAGTTATGGGTGAAAGCATTATTATTCTAGTGCTTACAGAAGCTAATCACAATTTATTGCGTATATATTAATTTTACAATGCAGTAATACTAAAAAATATTAGTTCGTAATAGAAGTTAATTTAAATATGTAATTATATTGAATAAATAATACAGTCAGGTGAAATATTATAGTTAGATGTATATGAATAATTTTATTTACTTGTAATTATTTCCTAATTTAAATTTGAATTATTTATTCATTAGTTTTTACAAAATAATTATTCTAAAACAATTAAAGTATATTTGTTATATATTAGAGGTTATTAGAAATAAATATGTATGATAAAACTCAATCTAAACAATATTTAGTCAATAATTAAGAGAATTAATTTAAACAAAAATAAAAATAATTGTTAAGATTTAATATATAATTAAGGTCATTCCCAGTATTGTGACGCGTGAAGTATTTGCTAATTGCTTTATGGGAATATGACTCCGTTCTGGAAAAACCGGAAAAATCACGAAGATAACTCAATCAAGTCACATATTCATTAAACTTGTATATTAATTGTCGTAAAATTAGTTCAAGGTTCATTAGGAGTTCATTAGCATTTCCAGTAAATACACGTCGTTTAGACGTTTATACATAAATTAAAGTTAAGCAATGTACTTTGCATGTAATTATTTGCTTAATATATTTTATTGTATGATAACCTTAAACTAAATAAATTATTTATTTAAAATTTTGAAAATTTTCCGATAATCAATATTTAAGTTAATGTTTGCCGAATTTATTTATACTTTTTATATCACAAATATTTTATTGAAAATTATTTTATCAATAACTTCAAAATCTTTGTAATCATTCAAAAATAATAAATTACTATATTTATATTCAAGATATTAACTATTAAAGTGTTATTATAGTATGAGTTTTTAGTCCAAGAAATGATTAAGTCCTACATAACTGATCTTAGAATTATTTCAATGTTAGAACTATTTGATACAAAACCGGATATGCGATAGTCGAAATTTAAAATATTATCCATTAAAGTGTTAGTATGGGATGAGTTTTTAGTCCAAGAAATAATTAAGTCCTATATAACTTTACTCAGAATTATTTCAATGTTAGAACTATTCGATACAAATCCGGATATTTATATATTTGTCAGATGGTCAAAATATCAAATAGCCTTTAAATTGCAAAAAATGTCTTAATTCCTTCTTTTCTTACAATACAATTTTGTTTAATATAAGAATAGAAATAATATTAATCATTAATGACCCTTTTGTCTTTATTTCTACTGTCCTTTTTGGGTTCGATGTAAAGTATTCAACAGTTGTAAAATAGTTCTTAAAATTTTTTTTATATTTGTTAGAACAGTTATCAACAGTTGTAAAATAGTTATTAAAATTTTTTTTATACTTGTTAGAACAGTGTTCAAATGTACTTTAAGGTGATAGCACCTTAAATATATCATACACTCTCACTACTCGATTATTAAACCATCATATAATTGTCTCGATGAATAATATTTTTAAACAATTTTTATGTAAGTATTACTTTGGACAAAATTTTAAAAGATCACCCTAATATTTCGCAATAAAATTCTGGAAGTGATGCGTCTTTATATAGATTGAGCGACAAAACAGAAATGATTATTCTATATATACCATTCCCTTGAGAGACATGCTGCGTCAGGTCGTTTAGACCATCTACAAAAAAAAAATCTAAATGATTATTAAATTAAATGGTTTTAATCACAGTCAGTAGTTATTACTTATAGTCTCTACAGTACATATAATATTATCAATATTAAATAACTATTGCTATGTACATGAATTAAAAAGTCAAAATTTAAAGCATAAAGATATACTCTTTTCTTCGATCGAACAAGTATCGAAATCCATAAGATGACTGGAGAAACTGTTTGCTCTCACATTAAGGGTGAAAGCTTTTCTAATGTTTATGGTTTCATCGTTTTTAAACATATCTATATACTTGGTCAGGGAGTTTTGAAATGATTAAGTTTAAATCATTGAGAATGTAAATTTTTATCATTCATTTAATATTTTTGGTATGTATTTTATTTATTGAAGCTTGCCAAAATCCTCATAGCAATTTGATTTGCTTGCATAGCAAATCAATACTTAGCAACGCTAAAGAGTAACAAAGTAAATGTGAACCACTTTCATCATCCTCCGCACAACTGCGACAGGAATAATTATATTACGAAAATTGGGTTTATAAAAGTGAATTTAGCTTAAAAAATATATATTATAGTAGGGATTTTTTATAAGTTCCGCTTCAGATTTGCGTTATGAATGAGTTAGCATTATACTTTGACTTACGTCAATCTAATGTAAATAAGAAAATACTAAAAAGTAAGTAAATAAATAAAAATGACTCTGTTTATTGTGGTAAGAAAAATATACTCTAATTGATTACAGCTAGTATGGTAACTACTTAATAAATACTTAAACAACCCCACCTCTTTCTCATTTTCTGCATTCTCATGTCTATCTACTACGCCAGCAGAAAAGTTTTTAATAAACATTTACGTTTTTCATCTATTTGATTTATGTGTTAAAATTTGTTACTTGAAATTATATCTCAAATTCTGAGAATATTAAACGTTTTAACATGATTTTAATATGTACCATTGAAATTTAAATTCAAATACATATTGATATAAAAAAATTATTATTAAAAATAGTTGAATCATTATAATAACAGTAATAAAATTGATGCAATGAATATGATTTATAAGTACGTACTTTAAAATTTGTAAATATCTAGCATTGACCAAATGTTATTTAACCCTTTGCATAAGCCCAATATATGGTACAATATTACAACTATGTAATACATATAGTATTTACGTACTTTACATACTAAATTTCAATTAGCCAAACTTTTTTCTCTGTATTTTTAAAAGGACTCCGAATGTAAAGTTTTATCCGTTCCGCAATCCTGATCTGACAGCACAAAATTGTTGACTAATAGCTATTATATGTATAGTTTAGAATTTGCCATTTCGCAATATGGATCGTTTAACAGTCGCCAAACGTGTAAAAATTGTAAAGGCTTACTTAAAAATAGTAATGACTTTTTAGATCGAATATTTTTCAGTGGTCATAAACATCTAAGACGGTAAAAAATTAACTATTTATGGACTAATGCGTTGAGAAAGTATCGCTAGGAACTAATGCGCATTTAACCCTAATATGCCCAAAGCCCACGTGAGCTCAAATACTGGCTCGTTGTGTAACCACGGATTAGCGATCATGCACAGTCGAAAATTTTAGTTTAAATTCTCAACCCTGATAACTTTTTTAAGGCTTAAATCAATATTTTTAAACTTTGAGATTGGATTAAACCCACTGAAGTTGATAATCCGTAATATATAAGAAAGTAAACGCTTGGGGTTAAATGCTTAAACTTTAAAGTTTTAATCGTAGAAAATAAACTACATGAATTGATAACATAATCCGCAAGTTTTATTTTGAAACCATCATGTTTTTAGACCCTAGAGTCTAGAGTCTAGTTAATTCATTGAAGTTGGATAAATATAAAAACCCTATGAGTTTTAAATTTAAACCAATATTTTCGACTGTGTGTGCAAACTGGAGGTCAGCATACGAGCAACACTAAAATGCACAACTCCTCTGTTCAAATAAAAGTGAACAAACCTAAGCAGTCTTGGCTAAATCCCTAATTTTGTAGAATGACAGGTTTGTAAAATCGGTAAGAAAAGTTGTCCCAAAATGTTCTCTTAGCAAACGATAGACACTGACAGATAAGGTGGAGTGGAGTTTCCTTCTCAGCCCTTATATTATAAAAAGCAGAAGTCAAAGTGCCATATAAAAAGGAAAAAAATTAAAAAAATAAAAAGTGCTAGATAACCGATTTTTTATTATCTTTAATATCAACATATGAGTTATCATGGTAATTTGAATTTATATGATATGTAAAGTACATCCCGCTCCCTCAAACAATTAGTACTTAATTTAGTTAAAGAATCTTAAATCATTTTTAAAACTTTTATTATATGACTAACTGAATGTTGAACAATGTGACAATGATCGCTGACCCCATTAACACAGTGACGTCATCACTACTTTATAGTCAAATCTTTGAATTTAACTTATATCTAAAATGTGGATAATTATATATTCAAAATAATTTATTGCAAATTGCATTCAGAAAAAAATAAATTGATAAAAATATATGTTTTTTTTTTCGTAAAAGATAATAGATTTATTTTTCGACCTGTTTTTTTATAATGGTTTTTATAAATTTCTTAAATCCGGCTATAGGTCGACTCTCCTTGGGAGGCATTATCAGAATCACGATCTTACATAAATTAATATTATTAAAACTATATCTACGTCATTCTCTTTATTCTATCGCCTACATTGCACTCAATATAGATCGTGATACTGATTATGACTATCAAGGAGAGTCGAAATATAGAATATAATAAAAAATATTAAACGTTGAATTATTTAACAAAAAGGGACCTATAGCCGGATTTAAAAAAAGTATATAAAAACAATTTTAATAATAAATTTGATGATTTTATTTATTTTTTAATTTTTAGTAGTACTAATCACAGTAGCTGCGGACATTGATGATTATGATGACTAAGTAATGTATACCTTAGGCCAGACGACTTTCAACGAACTTCAGATAATTGAGTTTAAGAGAATTTTTTTTTAAAACTTTAAATACTACAATGCATTCTAAAAGCAAATATGTATCTATGTATGCATATATAGTAGTTATATATGTAGGTATAAGTACAAGCACTGGTCACTTTAAATATGTGCTAATTATGACGTTTATTGCAAAAAAAAAATATAACCATAGATAAACAAGACTATAATTTGTTAATAATACGATACAATCACAATTGATTTAACAATATTATGGCGGCTCCGTAAGAAGAAGCTTATTTAGTTGATAAGTGGTAATTAACGTATTCAAATTGTATGGTTGACTGAAAGTAAGTTTTTCTTTTATTTACTGGAGGTATTTTTTATAGTTATTATTGATACACAGATATGTAATTATATTTATTATTAAGTAATTAAAAAATTGTAAGATTTAACTCTTTTTCTTAGCATTATTATTTTATTAGATAAATATATTAAACAGCGTTTCCACAAAAATTTTACAAATATTTTTAGTTGAATTTTTCAAAAAATTAAATAATTTCAACAAAATTTCACTCACAATTTTCCAAAACTTTCATTAACCGATGAGTTAAAGCGATCTACTGACATTACGCAAGGTCGGTCTTTTACATTCAGCTTTTATAGATTACGAATCGCCTATATATAATACATACTTTGGACTGCTTTGGATATAAACATACACGTTTTGAGGTTTTTTACACCGATTGTCTTTCTTCTGTCTTCTGTTTTCTGTCAAAATATTTTGTATATACATACGTATTGATTAAAAATAATACACACACACAACTCCTCATATATATGTAAACAAGATATTATTTTCGCAACAACCGGTTTCAATTTACCTACATTCATACATGGATTTTCAACACAAATGCTTACATATGTTTCAAAAAAAAGTACAGAAACTAGTTGCCTCCATATAACACACTCCACTGTGTACTTCTTTTGACTCATGAATAGTTAAGACTTAAGCTTTTGTAATATATAATTTTATTCCCAATAAAAATATGACAAAAAATAAACAATTTTGTTCCACATAATCGTACATATTTATGCAGATATGCCTATGCAGATATGTAAGATATAATATACATACTATACATACACAAGGAGATTATTTCAGATAGGTGTTGTGAATCCAAAAAAAACAAAAAGATCAACAAATGGATGAAGTTTATTCCTTAGCTTTACTTAACCCAGACATACTATACTTTAAGCAAACTCATTATTTACTTAATCAAGTAATGCTAAAAGCACTTATTATTTGATGCCATTTAAAAAACATTTTTATTTTCCATTGAAATCACCTCTATGACTTATCAGTTCAACTGCTTGAACTTTCAGATACTTATGTATCTTGTAAAAACTAATTACAATGACTAAAGACTTTGACCAACACGACGTTATTAATTGCTTGTTCTGTCTTAAGTGGAATGCAAAGGAATACATTAACTCTAAACGTGCTCCAAAGCTTCCTATTCCATTAATATTCATACCGATGATTTGAGAACAATTGTACATTTTTGTGTATCTATACAAATGTAATAAATATTTTAGTTTAACACTTATGGAAAACAAACAATGTCAGCTACATTATGTATGTAAGTTTGATTTGGTTAATTAATTAATGTTATTTTTGTGATATGCTTGGGGTTGACTTTAAGTAAGTTATAAACTGTAAATATCAGTACATCAACAAATTTATCAAAAAGCAGGGATAAGGATGGGTTAGACATGTAATAAGAATGCCGGATATGAGAGTACCGCTTAGGATTTAAGACAGTTTGCAGTAGAACTTGGAAGAAATAAGCATAAGAAATTGGAAAACAAGAGCAAAAAACAGAGAACAAAGGAAGACTGTTGTTAAATAGGTTTAAGTACTACATGGACTGTATAGTCACAGATGATGATGATGATGATGAAATATCTGTAGACTTTTCTTACATTTACACATATTTATATTCATGTTCATAATTGAGAAACTTTATTGCTTTGATTATAATTTTTTATTATTATTACACCATTTTTAAATTTACACTAATGGAATCGAAGAACTCGTTACTTGAGATCGTTAAATATACTGGAAATGATTTCTTTTCTGTTTAATAACATGCTTCTCTCTTCCTATTTCTTAACTTAACAATCAAGGGTGGGCTAGTATTTTCTTAACCATTTTTTTTCAATGCTCCCTGTATTTCGTATTCTTACTTTAGTTTTGTATTCCCTTAAATAATTGTACACTGTATTAAAGTGTTTTAATGTGGGACTGTATAATGGTTGGATTGGGTAAAGAAAACTATTGTTAATACAAAAATCAACATTTCCACTCAGAGACGTTTATTACGCTTTATGAGTACCTTGATGTCGCCAGAGGAAGATACTATAACCGTAGTTTCCAATATAACTTAACCGATAACAACGTAGGGTGCGTGCGCGCGATTTTCAAAAACAAAATAAGCAGATCTTTAAAGATCGTCTAGTAAAATTTGAATATAAGAATGAGCGAAGAAAAAATATTACCACACTTTCACAAAAAAAGACAATACTTTTATATTGACACAGTAAACTGAGCCAATAAATCCAAGACCATATTTATTCTCTCTGTCAAGCCAATGAATAAAATATATTCTAGAGGTTAAAGTCGTTTTATCTGTAGATTGATGGATTATACCCTTTCTTTATCATAGTAGCTATTTCTCGGAATACGCGGCAATTAAATCAGCGACTCAATAGCAGAGTGCTCCGTTAGCACTCCAGTTAGCATTAGAGTAAACCCCTTACTGTTACCCCAACGAACTTTTATTTTTCTATCTAATCTAGTTCATCTAATTCCAGTGGCCTTAAATTATTACAATACAATATCCAACTTATGATAAGATCTGAAATAAAAAACCTGTAACTTATGTAAGTTCATCTTAGTGTTGTAGTTATGTGATATAATGCAAGTGTACGATTTTAAGTTATATATTGTAAATACAATAAAAAAATTATATATATATACGAGTATATGTTTATATAGGAATGTAATGTAGCGTAACATCTGTATTCGATCATTGCGCAATAATTTTGTTTATTGTATATATTATGTACTTTGCTTTTCTTGGAAGCCATTAAAATTTTTAACTCAAACATTAATTTTAAAAATTCATTTTTCTAAAGATGGCTTTATTGCACAAACATATAATATTTAATTGTTAAGTATACATATTAAATGGAAGAAAAAATGTAATTAAATATTTTAAAGGTAAGAAAAAATAAATATTTAATTGCAGGAATAGTTAGAAATTTTAGTCAAGCAAATTATCATACAAATATGTAATAGTAAATACTGTCAGTATAGATTCCACATTACGGATCGGTAAAAGAAAATGGTTAAGTCTAGAGCCCTTAGCATTGCTTAAAAAGAGTATTGTAATAATAAAGACTGCCAGTAAAGATTCAACATTACTGATCGAGAGTATTGTAATAGTAAATACTGTCAGTATAGATTCCACACTACGGATCAGTAAAAGAAAATGGTTAAGTCTGGAGCCCTTATCATTGCTAAGAAAGAGTAATATAATAATAAAACTGCCAGTAAAGATTCAACATTACTGATCGGGAGTATTGTAATAGTAAAGACTGTCAGCAAAAATTCAACATTACGGATCGGCAAAATAAAATGGTTAAGTCTAGAGCCCTTGTCTTTGCTGAAAAAGAGTATTATTGCAGATAATGAAGAATCTGATAAAATGACTTAGATCTCTTATCTTCTTATTCAGTTTTATCAGTCTGATTATGTTTGTAACACTAAGAATCAGAACTGTAGTTCTATCTGAATTAGAACTTCTAAACTATCCAAGTAGTTGTTCGATGGCGAAAGTGAATATAATCGGACCTTTCTTGCTTAAGCTAACTAATATACAGTCATTATGAATATCCCTATTATTATTGTTAGTGGATGTGACACTGCTACCGTCGGGTCTATTGTGTCCCCTTCTGGGTTTAGAGTAGGTCTCTAAGCGCTGTTGCGTCAATAAAAAATAGTATAGAACCTATTTTACAAAGTTTTATTGCCTCTTCCGTAAGAATATACATTCCTAGGAGTTTCCTAGGTGCATTAGCGCAGGCTATAGATTCCTAAAGATGGAAGAAATTTGCGTTGTGTTTAATATAAAATCTGCACAATAAAGTTGCATATGATTACAAAGTTTTAGTTTAAGTGTTGTTAAAATACTGATTATTTACAATTATCTATTCATTACAATTTAAGTGCTATAAATTTTTTTAAAGGTATTTAAAATTACAAAAATTTTATGTTTGCCAATTATTGTGTAAGTAGATACAATTGCTTTAAACCAATAAAAATAGTACTAATTTTGTGTATATGATGTCATGAAGTGGCTAATTATTAGTAAATATCAAAGACTTTTTAATTTGTTAACTATGACAAACATAAATATGTTATAGAATAAATTGAATATTTTAAGATTCTAAAATAATTAAGTCCCGAATGCTTACTTTTACAGAGCGTTGTATTATATTATTGTATGTGGAGTTAATGTCTTTTAACACTATTTCTCCTAATAATGCCTCTAATACCTATGCTAATATAACCGAAACTTGACAAGACAAAATCAATGGAAGCTGTTCACTACCTATTTGCAAGGCATTTTTTCAGAATACGAATGACCGTTTAAAAGTACTGTAGAATTTGTACGGATATTAATAAGAAGAATAACACATATTTTGTAGCTGCCTAGTTTTTGCTAGAAAATCTACAGTTTTATATTATATATTACGAATATTTTATTATCCTTTGAGTCCATACCTTCTTTTATAAAGTGTTTTAAAAAGTATACGATAATATTTTACATATAGTTATTTTTTATATTATTGATTACTGACAAATTGATCAAAGAAGACAATAACCTATAAAGTACTAAAAACTATTATTTAATTATTAGTTATTTTTTACAGATGGAATGAAAAGTTTTTGGTCTGACATTTCTGAATAATACTCAAATGAACTCATCAAATTAATTGATTTTAACATATAATATCAGTTTAAATGATTACAGTTTTTAGTTTGACATGCAAAAAAAACATTTTTGTATAATATTCAAATACCATAAACTAATGAAATGAATTTATATTTAATTATAATTTAACCATTTCTCTTCTTGCATAACAATTCATAGAATGATTTAAAAGAATGATTTGTCGAAACCTTTAAAATAGATTTATGTTTCGGCAACTGTTTTTTTTACTCGCCTTATATGCTTCTCACCAAACTGCCCTTTACAGATTTTCGAATAGGTAGATGTCCTACAGGGCCATATCTAGAGAATACATTAAGTTAGAAATCTAACCGAAGTGCAATACGCATTTTTTCGCAAAACTTTATATTGAAAATTATACTTTTCTTTTCTATTTTGGGTCTCTATTTTGCAATATCATCCAAACAAGGCCATAAAATATTTTAACTGTTTTCTACTTTTAATATAATTTATGAAAATTACACCGTAAACAACCTAAAATATAGATGCCATAATTTTTTTGGTCGATTCTTAAATCTTTGGTCAATCATTTTGGTTGGCTTTCTTCTCTTAATGTCGACTTGTTTAATTACCGATGTGTTTCCAGAGAGTAGTG